AGTATGTGCATCCAGTTTAACTTGCAGGATAAATATGTTGATGATCCTCATCTAGATTAGCAGCTTTTGAGTGACATATGGTTTTATTAATCTCTGCGTTTTCTCTCTCTCTATCCACAGGCTGTGTGTCGTAAGTATTTCAACCTGACGGAAAGCAATTTATTCTCAAATTCATTTTGAGAATAAATGTCATTGTTTAGCTCTTTTTTCGTATGTGCTGCACTTCTTTGCTCTTCCCAGGTCGTCCTTCTAGTCCTAGATCTTCTCCTGCTTGTCCGTCTGGTTGGACTAAGTATGGAAATCGGTGTTTCTACTTCTATAATTCCCAGATGAACTGGGCTTCAGCTGAGGTATGAAAAAGTCAGTTCTTTCAGGAAACACTAAGAATAATTTCATACTTTGTGTAAATCTGTCACTTCATTTATTTCACTTTTTGTCATCTTTGCCCCGTCTGACCAGACGTTTGTTTCATAAATAATCAGTTTGTCATTTCATTCATGTTTTTTAGGACTGAATCTGGAATCTAGAATTTCCATCTGAATGCTTTTATTTAATTCAGTTTAAGTATCGTCACTTCACAACAACTGTTGCTTCAAGACACTAAGAACAGTTAATTCAGTTCAAGTCACTCCTGCATTTCAATAAATCCTAGTTATACATCAGTGGATCAAGTTCACTTTTTATGCGTTTTGTTGTTTACTTTATTATAACTAGTGATGGATCCGGCAACACCGATGCGTCGGCGCATGCATCAAGCCCATAGACCAAAACCCGTTTCGGTGCGTGTATTGGTTTCAGTAAGTCACGTGATCGATACAGGAACTGTTTCGAAATCACATTAAACGCCAAACTGTGTTTATAAGGGAGAGAATCTGTCAAAAGCATTTGCCAAACGAATTCTTGATCTTTTACAGTGTCAACTATGGAGCAGCTTCAAACAAAAGGTTCCCTCAGTGTGGGACCATTTTGATCTTATATTGGAAATAAATTTGTCTTCATTTTTGCTGTTTCATCCGGTTCTTGTCAGTTTCTACTTGATCTGAATCCAAATTCAGCTGAAACTGACTCTTAGTTTGCTTTCATATCATGTTCTGCAGGTTAAGTGTTGCATATATTTGACTAAACTGTCTTATTTAAATAAATCCACCTTTTAATGCTGAGGCATCATGAGTGATGAGAATGAAGTCCCAGATACACTCAGACATGCAGCCATTCTACAAATCACTCAGGTGCTTTTTATAAATTTCTTCATATAAATGTAATGTTTACTTCATTTTTGGAATAAAAATTTGTGGAAGAAACCACAAAANCAATCCACAAACATCCTCATTCCAAACACGTTCACTTAAATTTTCACTTTATGGTTCATGTTCACATTATTTATTGACTGTATTTAAGAACATCAAATATATTTTCAATTTAACTGAAGATGTGACATAATACAATATATAATATATAACAAAATAGAAAGACACAGAATCAATACAGTTTTGCTATGCCTCATCTACCCACCACTATTAGTAATCCCTCATATCTAACATGCATGCAGCGACAGTGGGGAGGAAAACTTCCCTTTAACAGGAAGAAACCTCCAGCAGAACCAGAACCTGGCTCAGTCCAAACGGCCGTCTGGAGGTTTGAGAAAAAAACAGAGAAACGAAACAGAAGGACTGATCTAGGAGTAATTTCTATGTTCATGAAAAGTAAAAAGTTAATATCAGGAGAGGGAGAATGAATGGATGATGGCAGCTTCATCTGCTGACTCCCTGCAGGAAGGAACCACATCCAGACATCAGACCAGGTGGAGCTTCTAAGGAGAAAACTGGAGAGTTGTAGCAGAGTGAGGAAGTGTTCAGTTTGTCCCCAGCAGCTCTACGTCTGTAGCAGCTTAACTACAGAGACAGTTCAGGATAACCTCGGCCATTAGAGGCCTGATGAGACAAAGTCCAGCAGAACCGTCTGGACTGGATCTCTGGATCATTGTAACGACTTTCAGAGCAACAAAATGTGCTGCTGGCCATCAAATGTCGCTACAAGTTTGTCTTCAGAGGAGTCAAACTAGACAAAGAGCTCCATCTTCTCTTTTAGTTGGACTTTTCTTAGTTTTGTAGTCCATTGATTTTAAGCCTTTTTTGCTCGATTTTAATGTTGTTTTGTTTTTTTTCCCAGAGTGATTGCATTAGTTTAGGTGCAAATCTGGCCTCCATCCACAGCAGCAGTGAGCACAGCTTCCTCAAGGCCCTGGTCAGGAGTAAGAAAGGATCGTACCAGAGAACCTGGGTCGGAGGCCACGATGCTGTCCGGGTCAGGTTTCTTCTTTTTTTCCTTATATTTTATGTTTTGGTAGTCAGGGATGGTTTAGAATATATGCATAGTAAAATGTGTGATTAACAAACACTTGGTTTCAGGAGGGTGTGTGGCTGTGGAGTGACGGGTCAAAGTTCGACTACACCAAGTGGGGCAGTGGGGAACCGAACAACCTTGGTGGAAAAGAACACTGCATGGAGATCAACCTGAAAGGTGAACATGACCCATCAGCCTCTGGGCTTTTAAACATGTCCTTAAAAAGATGAAGCTTCGCAGCAAATATACTGAACAAAAATATAAACACCGCATGTCAGATATTGTTGCCATGGAGAGTTAACTGTAAATGAGCATTTGCTGCATTTGCTGACATTTTATTGTACAAAAGTAATATTTCTCTGATTTGTGTATAATTTTGAATCCATCTTGCTGTCAGTGAGCAATACTCAGGGTCCACTGGGTGACCAGACAAAATGAGCAACAACAAGGCCATGAAAGGCCCCAAAATGCCACATTTTGTCACGAGTCATGAAGCCTCAGTTATGCAGGAGCGTGTCATCGCCATGTTGGATGCAGGGACGTCCACCCGAGCAGCAGCTGCACGGCTCAGTGTCCGTTATCGGACATTTAAGAGTTTTAGAGTTGGTTCCAACAGACTGGCTCCACTGCAGATCCTCCTCATCTTCGGCAGCCACGTGTGACCGCTCCAGCACAAGATCGCCACATCCGGCTCGGCTAAGAGCAGCGACACACAGCTGAGACTATCGGTCTGAACAACAGACGCATCACAACTCAGACTGTCCGTAACCGCCTACGGGAAGCCAACTGGGTCAAAATCAAATTCCTCAACCCGACCCCTTATCATGTTCAAAGGACTGTTGATCTGCTACAAATGGCCGAACCACGAAGTTATCAATGCTGATAGGAAGATCAGTTATTACTGAAAATATAGTTTGAGTTTCTCTATATATTATTTAAATATGCTCATAAAAGTCTTATTTGACATGGGGGGTTTATATTTTTTAGTATATTTATTAATTACAGTTCAGTTGATTTTAATAAATCTTAGGATCCCAAACAGATTCACCTGCTGCTGAAATATTTTCCTGATATTATTTTTTTATTTCTTTTCAGGATCAGCTCTGTACATAAACGATGAACCCTGCACCACAAGTAGTTTCTTCATCTGTGCCAAAAAACCCTAACTCCTCCTTCCTCTTCCTGAGAAATCCAACATGACCATGTGACCTTCTCACTGGTGATGTCACTTCCTCCAGGATGTCAGGCCTCGATGGCGTCGCTGCTGGAGGATACAAGGATAAAATCTAATTTCAAATAAATCTATTGCATGAAACATTTTTTGTCATGTCGTTTTATTTCTTTGAGAAAAGATGATAAACTTTAGATTAAATGAAAATTTATTGAGTGAATCTGTCTCTGCATTTCCATGGTAACATCAAAGCAGTGTCTTCACGGCAGACGCTGCACCAATCCGCCTGTTGATCTCCCGCTCCCTTCTTCCCTCATTCATGAACAAGATCCCCAGATACTTAAACTCCTCCACTTGAGGCAGGACAACCCCCCCTGGCCCAGCGAAGGCACTCTACCCTTTTCTGGTTCAAGACCATGGCCTCGGATTTGGAGGCACTGAGCCTCATCCCGGCCGCTTCACACTGGGCTGCAAACCGCTCCAGCGATAGCTGCAGATCACGACCTGATGAAGCCAACAGGACCACATCATCCGCAAAAAGCAGAGATGCGATCCTAAGGCCACCAAAACGGATCCCCTCAACACCTCGGCTGGTCAGAGATTCTGTCCATGAAAGTACTGAACAGAGTCGGTGACTCTTGGCAGAGTCCAACTCTACGGGAAGCGAGCCCAACTTACTGCCGGCAATGTGGACCAGACTCTGACACCGGTCATACAGGGACCTGACAGCCCGTATCAAAGGGCCCAGTACCCCATACTCCGGTACCCCATTGTGGCCCTCCAAGTCCACAAAACACATGTAGACCGGTTGGGCGAACTCCCAGAACCCTCCAGGACCCTGCTGAGGGTGTAGAGCTGGTCCAGTGTTCCACGACCAGGACGAAAACCACACTGCTCTTCCTGAATCCGAGGTTCGACTATCCGACGGACCCTCCTCTCCAGGACCCCTGAATAGACCTTACCAGGGAGGCTTAAGAGTGTGACCCCCTGTAATTGGAGCACACCCTCTGGTCCCCCTTTTTGAACAGGGGGACCACCACCCCGGTCTGCCAATCCAGGGGAGCTGCCCCCGATATCCATGCGACATT